TCCCTCAGATCCTGAGGTCACTGGCTGATCTGCCTTGTTCCCTCCACCATTCAGAGTCTTCTTACGTTTATTTTTATATAATATCCAGGGTTTTTAATTGTATTTAGCAGGAGGAACAGGGAGTACATTCACTCCATCTTCAACATTATTATTTTATATAGTTAATGTCTCTTTAAACATGGCTTCTTTGCTCACCGTTCCTTCTTGCATGTCAAACCATACTTCTAGGATCATTATCTAAAGTATGCCCTTCAAAAAGTTCCTTCGATGAACTGTTGGTAGTAAACTCTCCCATTTTGATTGTATGAAATGACTTCCCTTACCCTGCTTTTGGTAAAAATCATTTTGTTTAGTACACCCTTATATATTGACAGTTATTTCTCTCAGCAATTTGAAAATATTTCTCTGCTGTCTTCTGGCTTTCAGTGCTGTTGTTGATTAGTCAATTGCAACATTACTTTTCATGTCATACATCCTTTCTCTCAAAGGATCCTTTCTTTGTTATTGTTGATGTGTAGTTTTCCTGTGATGTATCCACGTTTAGATTTCTTTGCTGATCGCTTGTTCAGCTTACTGAATCTGAGCATTTGTGTCTTTCATCAGTTCTGGAGAATTCTTGGCTAATATCTCTTCAATATTATATCTTGTCCATTTTCTCCATTAGTTCTCTTTTTAAAATATGTCCCTTTTAAAAATAATACTTTTTTAAAAAGTCATTTCACCAGATTCAGTGTTTGGTAAGGATCCACTCTCTTGTTCATAGGTGGTGACTTCTGGCTATTTCCTCACATGGTGGAAGAGAGAAGGCAGCTGTTGGAGGTCTTCTTTATAAAGGCACAATAAATGACACAATAATATCAAGCAATGGTCCTCTTGATAGATGCTGTTTAGCTTTCCAAGTCTGCCTTCCAGCATCTCAAATTCTAATATAGTTCATTTCTTTGTTTCTCTGTGTTGCTTTCTTGGTGATTACTTCAGATGTATCTTCCAGTTCATGAATTCTGTTGTTAATTGTATCTGATACAATGTATAATATGTCCACTACATCTCTTATTTTACTTAGTATACTTTTTTTATTTTTCAACTTTACTTTTCTTCAAACCTCCCTGTGTATTAAAAAGATAACTATTGAAGATAAAAACTTCAAGCATATTAAAGTAAGAGTAGTGTAGTAAAGCCCTATGTACCCATTAACCAGCTTCAACAATGAATAACTCATAGCTAATCTTGTTTCCTCTGTATCCCTACCTACGTCCTCTCCCTCTCTGGATAATTCTGAAGCAATCCCTGACATCATATTATTTTATCTGTCATAGTTCAATATGTATGACTAGTAGATAAGGATTCTCCTTTAAATAAATGATACTAACATTTTCATACCCCCTAGAAGTCCACTGTAATTCTTTAATATCAAATACGGTAGTCTTTAAAAAATATTTTATGGTTTGTCAATCATACTTTTAATATCCTCCTTTATTTCTTCAAACACAGTAAACACACTAAATTTATATATATATATATATATATATATTTTTTTTTTACAATATATTTAGTCTTTGTAGGCCTGATATATATATGCATATTTTTTTCTGCTGGCTCTTGCTCATGGTAGTTTGTTCCCTCATGCATTTGTGATTTTTTTTTTTAAATTGTGAGCTTATGGTTATTGGAACTCTCTAGAAATTCTTTGAGATTTCAGTTAATGTTCATTTCCCCAGAGATTTGTGATTGCTTCTTCTAGGCACCTGGAGCCCACACTAATCTGTAATTATGACAATTCTATTCTCAGGTTGGGTTTTTCAGCCTATGGTGTAAATTTTACACCAAGTTTATGCGACTGTCACCTTGTGATTCGTAATTCTTAGAAGAGCCTTTATTTTCCTTCCTTACCCACAGTCAAAGCTGAGAGAGTCAAGGCTTTTTACGGTCTATTGCAGTGATATTAATTTTATTTTTACATCTTGCCTTCACTGAGGCTGTTGGTTTTTGTGGAACTGGCTCTAGGAAACGCTGTCAATTTGCATAAACCCAGGCATTGTCTCTTGTCCTTCTGCACATGCCTGTACTCTGTTTAAAAACTATTCATGATCATGTATTGGCAGATTTCCTGAAGACAAGATTTCATTTCAATGCTCAGTTATGGCTTGGATTCATGCCTTTTTACTACTTTTATCCTATGAGGATTTCTTTCACTGTGTTCTACTCAGCTAAGCATTTAAAATGGTATTATACATGTTTCATTCAGCACTTTAAGATGTTCTGTACTGGGATTCCTCAGAATATCTGCTGTGTTGCCATATTCCTACAAAGAGGAAGGAATCCAAATTATTATGACTTAATCTCCACCTGATTTGCTGCCAGAAATTAGCCTTCATCACAGTGTCTCCCAGCCGCTCCTGAGAGCTTCCCATTCAGGGAGCGATCTGATGTTGGCTTAGTTTATTTGGGTGTTCTAACAAAATACCATAAACTGGGTAGCTTATAAACAACAGAAATTTATTTCTCGTAGTTCTGGAGGCTGGAAAGTTTAAGATCAAGATGACAGCAGATTCAGTGTCTGGGGATGTTAACAGTGGAGGGTATACAGGTTCTTGGTGTCTTGAACAAAGAATTGGACAAAACACACAAACAAAGCAAGGAAAGAATGAAGAGTTTTATTGAAAATTAAAAGTACACTCCGCAGTGTGGAAGCGGGTCTGAGCATAGGGGCTCAAAGTCCCTTTGCAGAGCTTTTGTGAGTTTAAATACCCTCTACTTGGGGTATACCGTATGTAAACGAAGACGATGAAGTAAAGTTACAAGGTCGTTTATGGCATTCACCCTATAGAGAGGATATTTCCCGTTATAGCTGAAATGTGAATTGGCCTTATGTTCTCTGCCTCCAGACCCTATTTTCCTGCCTCAGTGAGGATCTTCTCTCTTGTTCATGGATGGTGCCTTCTGGCCATCTCCTCACACGGCGGAAGAGGGAAGGCAGCTGTCAGAGGCCTCCTCTATGAAAGCACTTATCTCATTCATGAGGGGTCTAGCCACTTCCCAGAGGCCTCACTCTTAATACCATCACATTGGTCATTAGTTTCCACCTATGAATTTTTCAGAGGACACAGACATCCAGACCATAGCAGATTGGTTCTTCGGTTCAGATCCTCTCTGCTCTGCTCTGTCTTTCTCATATGACCCTCATGCTTCTGCTGCTTATAACTCTCATTAGTTTATCATTCTGCTTGGCAAAGCTGTCCTCTGGTGGTGACCGCCACTGTCACTACTATTTTTGGCAAGAGACACTGTTCTTTTCTTTTACTTCAGGCCAAATATTGGATAGGCCCTTGTCCTCAATTCTCTAAAGAATAGAAGGTATGAGAGAGAGCATTGTAACACAGAAATGAGCTTACAAATGCTTCCCAGGGCCAGACCCATACTCAGGACTTCTGATTGACCTGCCTCTCTGCATCTCTCCTACCTTATTGCCATGGGTCAATAGCTAGTTTACTTTTCAACACCTGAGTTCCTCTACTCACTAATGGGCTTTGGAGTCTAGGCTAAAATTCAAAGTCCTAAAGAGGAGAATTTTTATGCTCCTTTGCCCAGGCCAATTCTCACCTTCCCAGTCCCTATTCTCTTTGCCAGGAATGACTGCCACTCATAGTCATTGCAGGAGGATGGTTTGTTTTGTTTTTTCCCAGAGAAGCCCAGAGAGATATGGCCCTAACCTATGCATGTCAAACTAGTCTGAGACTAGTGCATTTTTTTTCAAGGTCTAGATCTTTGAGTGATATTTGTAAGACTTTACCAATTCATTTCAGTTTAGGCTGCACTGAGCCTAGTCCATTTATTTTTCTGACATGCTGTAGATTACAGCTTAGATAATAAACATACACAAACTTGCCCAAGAAACACATAATACAAAAGAGGCACAAAGCAGTCTAAAGCTGTATTTAGAAGAATAACTGCTCTCTAAGGGACAAATAATCCTCGGTGATGCAGCTGTCCTTAAAACATCTACCCAGTTTACCTGACTACACAGAACACTAAATATTCAGGTTACTTCACTGCATTTAGGTTTTTTCTATAAGGAATGGGCAGTAATATGTCTTTGATTTGCGTAACTGAGAGTCCCCAGGGTGGTGGGTGTTCCAGAAAAACAAATGGAAACAATAATCAGCCTCAAAAGTAAACTCAAATCTCCTCCTAGGACCTCCTTCTCCCGACACACACTTACAAACCAAAAGCTGCCACTCTTTAAATGGCAATTTTTCCAGCTACTGTATTCATGTATTTTCTAATAAGAATGTTTCATCTGGCCGGGCGCGGTGGCTCACGCCTGTAATCCCAGCACTTTGGGAGGCCGAGGTGGGTGGATCACGAGGTCAAGAGATCGAGACCATCCTGATCAACACGGTGAAACCCCATCTCTACTAAAACTACAAAAAATTAGCTGGGCATGGTGGCACGTGCCTGTAATCCCAGCTACTCAGGAGGCTGAGGCAGGAGAATTGCCTGAACCCAGGAGGCGGAGGGTGCGGGGGGCGGAGATCGCGCCATTGCACTCCAGCCTGGGTAACAAAAAAAAAACCCCTTTCTAACAAAAAAAAAAAAAAAAAAAAAAAAAAAGAATGTTTCATCTACTACATCACTTACATACCTTTCTCAAGCTATCATAAAGCACAGGGTTTTACTCTTAGTGGACACTTGCTAAATGTAGGTTGAATGTCACATATTAGTGTGAATGATTCTTAGTGAGCATGATTTGACTCACACCTCTCTCTTCCTACTGTGCTAAGGAAATGAGGGCTTTGATGTAGGGCGAGGTTGAGGTTTCATTGCAATATGTGGCAATGGAGATCTTTAAATCCCTGCTCTGCCAAATATTGTGTGACCTTAGGTAACTTATTTTTTCTAAGCTTCAGTTTCCTTGTAAAAATGTTAATACATTAAAGAACTCGGCAAAGTGTCTCAATGAATATTAACACTCTCCTGTTTTTGCTTCTACCACCTCTTAGCCTCAACATACCAGAGGCCACTCTGACTCCAGGGATGACCAGAAGAAGATGCAACCCAGACCATTCATGCCCATGTTTCTGAGTTCTAGAGATTATTTGTAGTTGTACTGGGACATCCCAGTTCAGATACGCTACTTGCTTTCTTTGACTCCCGCAGGCATTTGTAGGCTATTCCCTAAAGCTAGAAAGGGATCAAGGAAGGCTTAAGCCCTATTGTTACAGGAAAGCGGGTCCTAATCCAGACCCCAAGAGAGGGTTCTTGAATCTCACACAAGAAAGAATTCAGGGTGAGTCCACAGAGTAAAGTGAAAGTAAGTTTATAAAGAAAATAAAGGAATAAAGTGTGGCTGCTCCATAGACAGAGCCGCCCCGAGGGCTGCTGGTTGCCCAGTTTTATGGTTATTTCTTGATGATATACTAAACAAAGGGTAGATTATTTATGCCTCCCATTTTTAGACCATGTAGGGTATCTTCCTGACATTGCCATGGCATTTGTAAGCTGTCATGGCACTGGTGGGAGTGTAGCAGTGAGGACGACCAGAGGTCACTTTAGTCACCATCTTGGTTTTGGTGGGTTTTAGCTGACTTCTTTACTGCAAACTGTTTTATCAGTAAGATCTTTATGACCTGTATCTTGTGGCCAACCTCCTATCTCATCCTGTGACTTAGATGCCTTAACCATCTGGGAATGCAGCCTGGTAGATCTCAGCCTCATTTTACCCAGCTTTTATTCAAGATGGAGTTGCTTTGGTTCACACGCCTCTGACACTATAATTTTGTATTTTTCAAACTGTTAGTTTTGACTCAGTGACTCCTGAAATTAATTTAGTGAATAACCAACACCTTGAAAAATTATATAGTATAATAAAAAGAAATATGCATAGTTAGAGGAAATCATGTTTTGTGAAACTTTTGTATGATACGAGTCACATTTTGTATACAATGTGTTTCTTATGCGAAAGTTGTTAGAATCAAAATGGAGTTGCTAATGTTAAAACCAAACCAAACCAAACAGCCCTGACAAATAGAGCCAGGGAAGGCTATGAAGAGAGGGTTCTTATGACTGGTAACAAAAACTGTCACAAAAGACTGCAGAAACTACAACCTTGCACAAAGGACATTGCAAACTTACAGAAAAAATACTTCCGCAAGGTTATCTACTCATCAGCTGCCTGTCCGTCTGGACTGGCACTACTCTTGTTATCAGTCTTTGGAGCCAAGGATAATTATTTCAAAACAATAATGTAATAATCCGCCTCATTTTTCCTTTAATAATATTTGTCTTCCTTTAGTCCCCTGAATACACACATAGTTTACTTTGGTTCACATAGTGCCATTGTAATACTCTATTCACAAAAAAACATTGCTTTCTTTTAGAGATCCTCTCTTGGTTTGTTATTTAGATTGACACTTGCTGTGGATTGCAGTCAAAAAATCTGAGAGACACTACTCTTAAGAGTTCTGATAGGTCAGGTGTCGTGGCTCACACCTGTATTCCCAGTGCTTTGGGATGCCAAGGTGGGAGGATCCCTTGAGGCCAAGAGTTCAAACCCAGGCTAGGCAACATAGCAAGACCCCAACTCTATCAAAAATTTAAAAAATAGCCGTGTATGGTGGCACGTGTTTGTAGTCCTAGCTACTCAGGAGGAACTATGATCACATCACTGTACTTCAGTCTGGGTGACAGAGCAAGACTTTAAAATAATAATAATAATAATAATAATAATACAAAGAAAAGATAAAAAAGAGTTCTGATAAAATAAAACATTGTCTTAATTATATAAAAATAAAGTAACATAAATGAATATTCTCAAATAAACAAAAATAGCATGCCCCACGTGGTAAATGGATTGCTCTATTGGTCCTAATTATTTACTATTCTGTGGACACATCTTATGCCACAAAATTTGTAGCACATTTCCACTCTAACCCTGCTCTCAGTTTTGTGACTTGACTTGGCCAATGAGATATTGGCAAATGAGATGTGAGCAGGGGCTTGAAAAGCACTTGTGAAATTAGGCTTGTTCTTGCTCTAGCCTTTTGCCATGATTGTGAAAACATGTCCAGGTGAGCCTGCTGGAGGATGAGACTCACATGGCGCAGAGTTGGGAGCAGAGATGGCCCCCATCTCCCAGCCAAGGTTATCCTAGACTGACTGGCAGACAGCTAACCCCCCTAGAAAAGATCAGAAGAACCACTCAGCTGAGCCCAATCCAAATTGCCCAATCTGCTAATCATGAATGAAATAAATCTTTTTATATGCAATGGGGGTTTGTAGTTGTTTGTTATGGAGAATTTTTGTGGTAATAGATAATATATGTATATACCAAATAGGATATTAGCCATTAATAAAATTCATAATAATAATCATTATAATAAAATACATATCAATTTTCCAAACACCATCTCACTTGGTAGTCTCAAAAATAACTTTTCATCTTTGTATTTCACATTTTACTGGGTGCTGCATATAGGGCCTTTACTAAGGAAAGGGCTTATTTAATTAATTTAATAGAAGACAAGGTGGCAGAGGAAGTAGATCTGCTCAAGTTGCTCAACAAGGTTCTGTTACCAGGAGACTTGCATTCAGCCTCCCAAGAACTCTCTTCATCAGAACAATCTGCAAGTTGCTGACCTCTCCCATCTTCCAAAATGAAAGGCTTGGTTACTACCCATTCTTCTGGATCTACCTCAATTTTCATAAAAGTTCCTGAGGGATGTTAGTTTGAATAATTAGAATTGGCATTTTGCTAGCAAGCAAAATAGAGGCCCTTTCTCAGGAAACCACAATGATACTAATATCCTCCGAGAGCATCCTGTCCTCCAAATAACCTGATTTGTTTTCCCTAAATTTGCATTTTCATTTGATCATTAAAAATGAGTTATTCTTTGTAATAGGAAACCTGTGATTCTCTTGACAAGTTTGGCCTGTTGGTTCTCGCAACAAGATCCTGGTGCCGTTCGCTCCCTGGACATTCAGTTTCCAGGGGTCACCAGTTATTTAATAAAAGCCTGCCCCTGAGAATGAGTATTCACCACAGCCAACGATGAAGGCATGGAGAATGGCAAAGTGGTAGTGGAAGTGGGAGTGGGGAGCTTTAAGTTTGCTTTTGCGGAATCCATATCAGTAGGTTAAGAAAACAACCATTATCTATATTAATAGAAGTGTGTGTGTGCATTTGTGTATGTTGATGAGGGAGAAATAGAAAACAGGGCAAAACCCTTGAAAGCCACCCCTCGATGCCAGCAACCTCCATCAGACAGACCTGATAATTTGTGAATCAGAAATAGCCCCAAATACCCTGAGTTTTATTGATAATGGGGCCAGTAAGCAACAACTTCACCTATGTCTCAGGTGTATTTCAGTGTCAGGTTTATGATCCCAAAAGAAGGCCCATTTCTTTTGGGCACCTGCTATGTACTGGTCAGTGTTTTGGGTGCTGGAGAGATACAGACAAATGACTCAATCCTAAACTAGGATGATCTAGTCTGCAATTGTTTGATGTGTCTGTGACACCAGGGAAGAGGTCAATGTTTTGGCTCTGTGATGACTTAATTACAGTAGCCCAATGGGGCTTCTTCCTCCCCTTAAAATTTCTCTGTTTGCTTGATAGCTTGGCTGTTCTTTATATCTTCTGGTGGTTTTACTTTGTGTTGTTCTGGGGTTTGCATTTGACACAGATAAATATTGAATAAAAATATTCATTAAATAAATGTCGAAACAATGATTTTTTTAATGCCTCAAAATGAGTGATCAGCTGGTTGAACAGAATTCACAGAAGACAGTACATGTGTTTGTGTGCACACAAAAATATGTTCAAGAATCAGATCTGATATATATATTTAAGAACCTAAGTACTTTTTCAGCTAAGGATCTTAGGTTGACTTGAATCAAAATTTGACTTACATTTCCCCTACTGCTTAAAGCTTGGTTTGAAGCTTAAATACTTGGGTTCAAAGTACTTCAGCTTTTAACAAAATCCTTTGGATTCCATCAAAATAGTAGATTAAGTATGCTTACCTCAATCCCCTGCTTCACAAAAATGCCGCTGCAAATCTATTTTAATGAATGTTTCACATAAGCCTTTCCTTGAGAAATGATTAGTAGGAAAGTTTAAGATAATCAATTTTAGCTAGAAAAACAAACCATTTCTGCACAAATTTTTCTTTTTTTTTTTTTTATTTTTTCCTACATGAGCAAGGGTTTCAGGAATCAATTTGAACAAATTTAAAATAAGATTTGTTTTTATTATAGGTGTTTTTTAAATCAGCCTTGAAATCATGTAAGTTATAGGGAAATGAAATTTAAAAAAAAAATTGCCCTCATGGTGCACTTAAGTATTTTTAAAATATGTTAGTTTCTTTTTGTGTTGTTATACATTTATTATTTTTATGAAATAAATTGGCACTCATGATGAGAGGTCACTATTTAGTAATGCATTATCACATTATCACCAATATTTATGATGACTGAGTGGTACACACATGTATCATTCACATTCTTATTTACGGTTAGATTTATTTTTACTCTAAGTGCCTGTAATCATTCAACCTCATAGAATTCAACGGGATTAAAAAATAATCAACATAAATATTTCATGAATATGGGTGTGATGGTTAACACTGAGTGTCAACTTGATTGGATTGAAGGATGAAAGGGTTGATCCCAGGTGTATCTGTGAGGGTGTTAACATTTGAGTCAGTGGGCTGGGAAAGGCAGACCACCCTTAATGTGGGTGGGCACCATCTAATCAGCAGCCAGCGCAGCCAGAATATAAAGCAGGCAGAAAAACATGAAAAGACTAGGCTGGCCCAGCCTCCCAGCCTACATCTTTCTCCCATGCTGGATGCTTCCTGCCTCCGAACATCCAACTCCAAGTTCTTCAGTTTTGGGACTCGGACTGGTTCTCCTTGCTCCTCAGCTTGCAGACAGACTATTGAGGGACCTTGTGATCATGTGAGTTAATACTTAATAAACTCCCCTTTATATATATGTATCTCCTATTAGTTCTGTCCCTCTAGAGAACCCTAATACAATAAGTGTAATTTATCATCATACATTCCAAAATTATCTTCTATTTTTGAGACCAGAGGGTTGTGTGATCATACAGAAAAATGTAACTATAATATTGTAGAGCTGGAAAGAACTCAACATAATCCAAGTCCTTCATTTAACACAGGAAATAACTTGATTCATAAAG